ATACAAGCACGTGAACAAGAAGGCCTTGGAGCAATACAACAGCTTCACCGTGCAGCAGGAGCAGCTCATGAAGCGGCGCCAGGAGCTGGATCAGTCGCAGCAGTCCATTGAAGAGCTCGTGCAGCACCTGGACCAGCGCAAGGACGAGGCGATCGAACGGACTTTCAAGCAGGTATCCAAGGAATTCGCAACGATATTCGAGAAGCTCGTGCCGGCCGGCCACGGCCGTCTCGTGATACAGAGGCGGACGGACAGACGGGTCGACCCGGACGAGTCGGACGAGGAGCAGAGGCGCAGTGTAGAGAATTACACAGGCGTCGGCATCAGCGTCTCCTTCAACTCCAAGGTCGCCGACGAGCAGCAGCGCATCCAGCAGCTGTCAGGTGGTCAAAAGAGTAAGCCCGATTCCCCATTTCTATCTATCCTTCACTCTTCTCTCCGTGAACGACTTCGCTCACCACTGCTGGAAATAAAACCCAGGTCTCTGTGCGCTGTGTCTCATCTTCGCGCTTCAGCAAACCGAGTCAAGCCCGATGGTCATCTTCGACGAAGTGGACGCGAACCTGGACGCCCAGTATCGCACCGCCGTGGCTGCGCTCTTGCAGTCCATCTCCGACACGGCGGGCACCCAGTTCATCTGCACCACCTTCCGTCCCGAGATCGTCCACGTCGCGGATAAGTGCTACGGCGTCTTGTTCAGGAACAAGAACAGTACCATTAACTGTGTCAGTACTGCGCAAGCTCTTGACTTCGTCGAGGGTCAGGCCCCCAAGTGAGGAAGAATGTGAGAGAGAGAAGAGGTTCCAACTCGCTCGCAGATGAGGAAACCCAAGCAGGAAAAGATGGACAAAAGTCGGAGCATTTGTGTTGTATGTGGACTTAATGACGGAAAGAGAAGGCTACCCTACCCCTCTTTCTCTACCCTAGCGTATTTACTTCCTGTTGCCGCTTAAAGTTTCTTTGTATTGGAATTTTAATAGGGCGTGGAGTGGTGTTTTTGATGATTTTTACACCATAGCCTCTACTACATATTCCCTTTTCATCTGTCGTGTATGTGTTCGTCCCCCCTCCCGCGTTTGTCATCGGTGTGAGGTCGATTTGGTGATGGCGGGCAACGTGTTTCTCTGGACATGTTAGTGGAGGCGAAGGAATTCTTTCAGAGGCCTGTGATGGGAGAAGGATAACGACAGACAGACCTATGGCGAGGCAAGGCCAGGCATAGTACAGCACGTGGCAGGAGTTTTCCGGGTCGTCCTTTTTTGTCCTGGGTCGATTCTTGTTTCAAGTCATGTCTTGACCAATGCATACTAAGTAGGTTAGGTGGCCAGATGGCATAGCTATCGCTTGTCTGAGATGAACAGATAAGTTGTGGAGTGTTGTGTAAGTCTGTGCCCCCAAGCCGGTGCTGCCTGCTGTCTGGTTGCCTGGGCCGTTAATCTAATTATTTGACGTGTGACGTGCTCGAAATAATCTAGGTTAACACCTGAGTCATATGCGACCTGGAATCGGTTCCTGCTTATAGCTTTATAGGAGCTCTATCAATATAGCCAGTTTGGTAGGGAACATTGTAAACCTGATTTGCATATGTAGATGTGATGGAAATGGGCTGCATTAAGCAATGACTGCACATCGAAAGTCAAAAAAAGAGAAGAAACAAAACTACAAATACAACAAAGTCCTGAAAATGATGTAAAAAAACGCCCCAAATCTCTAACCTCTCAAACTCCAACCCATTCTATACCTGCAAGTGATACCCCCTTATTCTAGAGAGCCCAACCGCCTTTGCAAACGCCACTGTCTATTTGCACCAAAATCCAGCTCTACAAGTCAATCCGTTGGCAGCCACAGTTGCGACTGCAGTGAAAAAACTCCACCTATTTCAAGGGAAAATATGTGTCCTATATGTATGACCCAAACATTCTTGCTTGGCAAGGCTTTCCTTGCTCATGAGGACATTATATCATCTGTAGGCACTCTTCAGTAGCTGTGGGAAGTGGAATAAATTAGCTGGCGAAAATCTCGTAACGTGGAGAATCAACTCACCCAGGTCACAGGTGGGTGGGATCTGGCTGTCTTCTTTCCAGGCTATCGAACAGGACCAGAGAAACAAATGTGCGAGTCTGAACTGTCTCGATTAGCTAACTCCCTGAATTAGCATTGACAACTAAGGTTAGATTTTTTCCGATGAGAAATGGGGACGAACGATGATGAGGTGCTTGGTGGTGCCGAGCCGCCTCCGGATCCAGACGTGTTCTGTGCGGATCCGCCAGAGCTTTGTCCCTGAATAACGAGGGCGGCAACAATTTGAAAGGGCATTGTGGCGATATGATGTTGGCAAAAGGCCACTCTAACGGCAAGGGAATATTTGGACAAGTGACAGAGATACGATAAAGGGGGAAAGGCCGGGATGATAGTTCTGACAGTGACTGAATCGGCATGCGTTGGTTTTTGGACTGTTGGTGATATCTCAGGCCGCCGTACAAAAACTTCTCGGGGACGTCAACTAGCTTTTATATATAGCTCCGTATGTTTGAATACATATATGTGTTCCCATAGGTTATAGCCAGTAACATCGGTGAAAGCGGGCTAGATTCCTCCTCGAACACCTTGCTGCAAAAACCGTCCTCTCTTACGCCTCCTCCATCCATCCATTATTTCTAAGACTAGATCTCTTGTGTTTCAAACAAGTCCATGTGATCCTTGAGATGGTCGACAGGCTTTAGAACATCTGCAATGTCGAGGCGTTCTTCACAGAGCTGACCGAGGTCTTAACATCGAGCCAGATCATAGACCGGCCCGAATTCTTCGGTCTTTCCCACAAATCATATAATGTTAATTCCGCATGAAAGCGGGCCGGCGGATTACGCACACTCCCCATCTTGACGTCTTGTATGTATGGGAGATATAGTGATGGGCTCTGGGTTTTTGGGAGGTTGAGGGATCAGATGACATGGGAGATTGAGGGCCCAATACACTAACCGTTCTCCTGCGCTCCTCCTCCGTCATGGGGTCCCCGGGGAGCCTAAGCTATCAAGTGTATATTCTAAGAATATACGTTGAGTAGACCGTGGCCCGAGGACTGTCTGCGATTTTGATGTGTCACTGCCTGGTCCAGTGGGAGCTGGAGCCTGTGTACTAAACACCTGATGCCCGCATACTCTTCCTAATCTAGCTATTTTCCTGTTTTTGGCGATCGTGAAGGTTGACTGGTGCCTATCTAGGCGTGCCACTGTTGCCAGGGTCGTAACCATCTCTTGGCATCCACTGGGGGCAAACAGGGGGGTTTATTGGGATCACACAAACAGATGTAAAAATAAACAACCCACGCTAACCACGCAGTACAGTAGGACAGAGATAGCAGTGCGTCCTTACTAAATGAGTATAGTATAAATCTTAACCAGGTAATTTACTTGTAATAATAGACAACAATTAATCTCCTTATAAAAAAGAACACCTCTTGTCTTTTAAGCAAATCAAGTTCTTGGTTTGCGTTTTAACCTATGTCTTAAATGCTATTCGTGGTTAGAGGTTTAGACTAGGTAGACAGTATGGATAGGAGCTCCCTTATTAGGTACCGAGGCAATGATTTCTACATACTGCTGTGTATTATCAATGTAGTTTTGCTGTGCACCAGCTCCTTTGTGCCTACAGGCAACCAGGTTTATGTGAATTTACGGTATATTAGGAAGAGAATGAAACAACTGCAACTGTAAGTTGTTGTCGCCTTATGAGGTAGGCCTGAACCAATGATTGCCTCGGTCGGTATAAGTTATCGGCAGCTGGTTGGAAACAACCGGATTGATCTAACAGGCACGCCCGAACCGGGGTCAAGTTGTCCTTCCTCACTTGCCCTGATGTTCACCCCGTTATGAGATGACAGGAGCAATCTTGACCACCTAGTCTAGCGCATCTGAACTTTGGCCTCGTTGTGCCTGATGGATCAAACTTTCGATTCATTCAGCCTTGCCCCTTGAATGTTTTTGTCGCACCAAGCCACAATGAAAAGGAGCCCAGAAATTCGCCCCAGCCAGCTCGACGCCCCGTCTCTGCAGAATAACTGGGGCCAAATTCCCATTTTCAAACTCCTCCTTATTGTCTTTCTGTGTGTAACACGACGCGTCAGTCAGTACTACTACCTACACGACTGCATGATCCTCACTATCACTGGCGGTATCTTTGAAATATCCAAATTAGTCTGAGTGCTTATTTAACTTGTTACAGAATGCTATCCTATCTATGTTTAGTTAAGATCAATTCAGAAAAAAGAGCCACGTGTTGTGTCCAGGAAGTAAAAATTAGTATCAAAAGTTAACCGCAATGCTGCCAAAGCACCTTGACGACTACTGTGTAACGGATTGCTTGAAGCTCGAGCGCTTCCCTCACGTGCTGCACATAGTTAATAGGAACATTATGTATGTACGGTACTTTCACCGAGTCGTTGGGACCTATCGCCTCTCACCTTGCAAAGGGCTGGCACGGCTCAGGCACCACCAAGGCCTTTGCGGGGTTGGACTTGACAAAATCCACCATTAGAGGTGCTTATATGCGATGACTTGCAGACTTTGTCGTCTCATGTAAGATTGACTATACTTCCGGCATATGTATAGTGTCCCAGAGTTTGTGCTTTCGAACCAAGGGAGAGAGATTACGTGTGCCGTCATTGGGCAGCCGTACCCAAAAGAGAGGCCGCAAAAACATTGTTCGGACCCTGTATCTAATCCCCATGATTGGGAAGGGTTAGGGACCCTGTCCCCGGCCCTGTGGTAGCGAGATAGCCATGGATTTTGTGAGCAGGATGTTGAAGGGCCCCGGCCTTCCTGATGGTAAGAGATGTTGAGGCTTGCTTGGAAGGAAGAAGCAAGTTAAGGATGCACAGGACATGGGCAAAAAAGACAGACTGGTATCCTCCGTAGAAAGAGCAAGGTGGCAGAATCAAGTCCAACACAAAAAGAGAGGAAACAATGTGGTCACTTCCATTGACTGGAAGGCATCAGGAATTGAGCCCGATGCGGGGGTCGAACCTATCGCAAGGTTTGTTAGCATTGCCAATTTGCAAATACGTCTTGAAGAAGAATAGCTTACCCGCAACCTTGAGATTAAGAGTCTCACGCTCTACCGATTGAGCTAACCGGGCAGATTGTGATCCTATCTCCGCAAAGATCGAACTGTATTCTCGTGAACGGAGCTAGCGCCTTCTGTTCCCCGATACTTGTACAAGCTTCGAGCGTCTGAGCCAGGATAACTTGGATAAAGACAGCTGGGGAGCATCAACGTCGAGCTGGCGCATCGTTACTGTAAATGCACATAGTGGAAGTCAGTAAAACTTAATCTATATTTATGTTAAAGATTACCTTCCGAAACCAATTTGGCTGTCAAAAAGTTAGAGGGGAGGAACTCTTGGAAAGGTGGAAGGTGACATCACTGTACCGTAGAGACCCAAGGTTTACACAGTACAGTACAGCAGTACAGCAGGGACGATCGTTGCCAGAAAAATCACTTATCGCAAGGGTAACAGCAGATAAGGCCGGTACAGTGTCCGGAGGAATTGTTACAGTACAACTCAAGTGCCCGGGCAAGTGGGGGCTGGTCGCGGGGCATGCATATGCTGGAATATACCAGAACACAGCTTCATGCGATAATCATAAGTCGATACCTCTGTAGTTCTTCGGCTTTTGTCTTAATTGATCAGCTTCGAGTTATTATCACCTGCATTGACACAATTGCAAAAGTGTACGAGTCGGATTTGAGATGCCGGTCGACTATAGCAAGTGGGTAAGTATTGTTAGTTCTGGGGTCGCTCGGGGGCTTCGAATCTACTGTGGGTAACTGACGATGCTTCGCTCAATAGGACAATCTGGAGCTCAGCGATGACTCCGATATAGAGGTCCATCCGAACGTGGATAAGCGATCCTTCATCCGCGCCAAACAGAATCAGATCCATCAGGAACGTCAACATCGAAGGCTCCAGATCGAGACCTACAAGTACGAGCGTCAGATCAATGACCAGCTGATAAAACGTATAACTGCGCTGCGAGATGCCCTCACCGCTAATGCCGCTGAGGCCGAGCAGAACCCTGCCGAGGCCGGCTTCAAGGCCATAATGGCATCCGCAGGCAGCCCCGAAGACGAAAACCCTCCTCCGCGACCGGCGGGTGTCCATGCCAACGTGCCGGAACAGCCAACATATACTAAGATGATGGCCACGCTTCTGGACCAGGTCAACCAGACGCTCGAGGAGAAGAGGCCGGAGAATCGATATGCGGCCATGGTGGAGGAGATCAATAACCACCTGAAGCAAGTGACAGATCTGCAGGCCAATCTGTTGAAAAGCCTGGCGGATCTAGAGAAAGAGGAAAGCCGCAAGATCACGAGCGAAAGCATCCACACGGGCTTTGACAGCACCCATATTACCAAGTCTACACCGTCTACCTCAGGCGAGAAGAAGAACGAAAGCAAAGTCGAGCTCTTGAACCCAAATTTCTCCTTGAACAAGCCAGAAGAGTCCAAATCTGGGGAAGCTGGGGAAGCTGGGGACGACGATGCCGACATCGAAGCTTCTCCAGACGCTGTCAAATTTGGACAGATCAAGGCTTCCAGTTATCGAGATAGCCACCAATTCCTGGTTACACACCCCCATATCCTGACGGAGAGGGAAACAGACGGCCTACTTGTGTTGGCCTTCGAATCGCAACTGGAGAACAAGGATGAACTTGCTCGGAACTACATACATCAGGCTCTCTTGATCCAGTACTGCCGTGCCCTTGGCAGGGACGGCGTCCCGCTCTTCTTCAAGCGCATCACCACGAAGGATCACAAAGCTCAGGAAGTGTTCTACAAGGACGTCCAGGATACGTACTTTAAAATCAAGAACCGAGCGGCACAAATCAACAAAGATCGCGCCTCCGGAGATCACAAGGAGGTGGAGCAGATTCAGCTATACGCTGTCGATCCAGGCACTGAGATCAAGATTAACGTTCCGCCCGAGCACAGCGAGGATCCCGAAGAGAAGCGTGCGCGCGAGATCTTCGAAGGATTCGCACCAGAGATGCAGAAGGCGATAGAAAGCGGAAGCTTGGACAAGGTCAACGAAGTGCTCGGCAACATGAAGGTTCCCGAGGCCGAGGAACTTGTCGAGCTGTTTAGCGAGGTGAGTTGCACTCGTTTACTATTCGCCACAGAAGTCTTGAGGCTGTGCATTGCAGTGCCACCAATTGAAACTAACCATTACAACAAACACATACAGGCTGGCATTGTCAGTATCGAGGAACAGATAATCGATACCACAACAGAGGAAGGCAAAAGGAAGATGAAGGAATTACAGGAAGAGGCGGCCAAGGAATCATATGCAGACGATCCGGAATGATATGGGAAACGAGTGGTGAGGAGAGAAAGGCTCGAACCGATCCACTACCTGGCTAGGCAGTATTGGTAACTCATGTGGGATATAAGGTTTATGCGTTGCTCTGGTAGGAGTGGGAGAAAAGGGCAACGGCGTTGTTTGTGTTAATAGCCCCCCAAAGGATTTCGATGACGCTTGTAGTTACAAGGGCCATGTTTGCTCTGGCACATGTGTTATTGGCTGGGGATTGACTCAATGGTCCCTGACTTACCAACTCACGTGCTGGCTTGTTGCCCTCCAAGCCCTTACGTGTGTGTAAGTATGTATGCGTGTTGTCAACGAGATGTGACCAACAAAACACTGCATAATATTATCACTAGGTTAGCTTGGTGGGCTACAGGGTGACGATGATGGATGTCATACATACCTACATACCTACTTACTTTACATAAGGAACGTACACCCGTTCATTTGCCCGCTTTATTTATCACACGTGGAAGTTGCCTCGCCGTTGTAGTTCTGTGACATACAGTACAGTGTTGACATACAGTACTGCAAAGTAAGTACCTAGGTAGTCTAGTCTAAGCCTTAAGGTTAGCCGATTCAGACAGGGGTACGAGTTAACAGGGGTAAAGAGAAGAAGAAATGCAAAATACCTAAGGTTACAGCATATTTGACCAAGAAACATGCTTCTCATAGTAACTATGACACCGAACGCGTGGACAATGAGCAATGCCCCGGATCATTTGGTGTGATCTCGACCGATCCAAACCAGGGCTTACATGTACTGTACTCTTAAGAGGCGTTAAACAAAAGCCTAGAAAACGTTTCAAGAGATCTTGCAGATCGTTGCCCCGATGATCCCAGACCTCGGCACTTATTCTAGACCTTATCCTACGTTTCATGATAAAAGTTGAAACCCGCTCTCGGTTGAACTTCATCCTCACTCTTTTATAGTGATTTCCAGCTTCCTTGTTGTGAATTGGTAGTATAAGGGGGTACTCTCGGTATTGGCGTGCACTCTACAGAAAGGTACCGACCGTAGCTCCTTGACTTGTTATTCCATCCATTCATTATCTTTCCATTCAAAATAGGACCGGTCCGAAAATGATGCCATCACTATGGACACCTTGGGCAGGCGTAGCCGCGCTCGTTAGTATGGCCCATGCCGCACCTCAAGGCAGTAGCCACGTCGTCTCAGCAGTGACATCGGCGAGCCCTGTCCCAACCGTGTTCAATACCACGGCAGCGACGTCAGTCGGAGGAGAAGGGGGCACGATGGCGTGTAATAACTCGCCCGCCCTTTGCGGCCGCTCGTACAGCAACATCACGCACATGGGCGCGCACGACTCGTCTTTCCTTCGCGACGCCAGCACAGGGGACTCGCTAGCGGGTAACCAGTTCTTCAACGCAACCGTCGCCCTGGACGCGGGGCTGCGGCTTCTGCAGGTGCAGGTGCACAGCCTCAACGGCAAACTACAGATGTGCCATAGCTCGTGCGACCTCCTCGACGCCGGGCCCTTGCAGGGCTGGCTCTCCAACGTCGGCGCGTGGATGGACGAGAACCCGAACGAGGTCGTCACGCTGCTGATCGTCAACTCCGACGGCCAGGACGTGACCGAGTTTGGCGCTGCCTTCGAGGGCTCGGGAATAGGGAAGTACGGCTTCACACCGTCCGGAAAGGGGGAGGGGTGGCCGACGCTACAGTCCATGATCGACTCGAAGAAGCGGCTGGTCACCTTCATAGCGTCCGTGGAGCAGAGCAGCGCCTACCCCTACATACTGTCCGAGTTCGACTACGTCTTCGAGACCGCGTTCGGGGTGACCTCGCTCTCGGCCTTCGACTGCAAGATCGACCGCCCGTCCACGCTGTCTAGCGCCGAGGCTGCTATTTCTGCGGGCATGCTGCCCCTGATCAACCACTTCGCGGACATCGACCTGGGGTCCGGACTCACGATCCCCGACCTCGACGACATCGCCACGACAAACGGAGCCTCCACGAACACGACAGGGGCGCTGGGCCTGCACGCCCAGACGTGCCGTTCCGAGTGGGGCGGTGTCACCCCTACTTTCATCCTGGTCGACTTCTTCAGCGAGGGCCCGGCCATCGACACGGCGGACGCCCTGAACGGCGTCACTGACCCCGTCGGACGCAGGAATTCGACCGCGGCTGCGGAGGTGAACGACAACGGGGGGGCCGGTGACTCGGATCCGAGTGGTGCGCCGAAGACCGATTCCGTAGCCGGTCGCCATGTGGCTAATCTGAGCGCTGGAGCTTTGCTGGCCTTTCTTGCGGGAGCCTTGTTGCTCGGATAAACGCTTTCGGGTTTGAAGCTTAATGTTAACCATTTAAGAGAAGTCACCGGAGCCCAGATCGGGGGATACCTTAAGTAAGTAACCTAGGTAACCTTAGGACGGACATCGCGAAGTTCTCACTTTTATCTGATTTTGCTTGCATAGCGACGGCGTTCTCGGATTGGATGGAAGGACTGCTTTTATTATCAACAATTATATAGTTACGTAGTGGTGATTGGTGACTCCCAGCACCTGGAAAATACCAACCGAATGTCTTTTACTTACAAAGGCAAAATGGCTATGAAAACATTGTCCCAGGTGTCTCAACATGCTAGTAGAGACCATATATCGGCTCCGTCGCTTTGTGGTCTCTACAAACACATGAAAGAGAACAGACTTTGATAGATATCAGATGTTACGTACGCTCTGGATAATATCGTCTAGGTTAAGGTTACCTGTTTTGTAGCATACATCGCGGGTTGACGTGGGATAAGCACCAA